AGTATCTACTAACCTATGCATATATATATATATATATATATATATATATATCATTATATATACGCATTTCTCTGAATTTGTACTACATCTGGCATCTGCAATGAATACAGAAAATCGCGCATACTTCCATAAGTATTTAACTAGTGTCTATTTTATTGTATCCTGAAGACAATTCTTGGTCCAAACAATATAAAACCATCCTGCAATTCATGATTTGCGGCATAGTGAACGAAACAACATTGGAGAACACACCAATGTCTCGACTCCGAACCGACACATTCAATCTCTGCCACAGCAACAACACAATACTATTGAGAAGCGTGTGCACACACCCCTGCCTATTTACTGTTATTTATTAGCGATCAATATTACGTGCTTTTTAAATGAATCACCTCGTGTCACCGGTACACTTTAGACTCCCGTGAACGTACGTACCCGTAGAGTGCGTAGTCGCATCGCTGTAGAGTTGTATGCCCCCGCAGAGACACTGGCACACCCAGTTGTCTACTCTATCTCCGAACACGCCGTACATCCGTACGGCATCTTGCTTTGTTGGACTTAACGTCTTCTGTACATGTACATGAGTATACTTCTGTACATATACATGAGTATGCTTCTGTACATGTACATGAGTATACTTCTGTACATGTACATGAGTATACTTCTATACATGTACATGCGTATACTTCTGTGCATGTACATGCGTATACTTCTGTGCATGTACTTGAGTATACTTCTGTGCGATACTCTTGTGCAGGTACATGAGTGCGCACTCCTGTTCAAGGCCTGTGTGCGGTGTTTGTGCCTATTGGTGCGACAATTCTGACGCCTGACGAATTGTCGACACGTATATGTACGATATTTGTGTACATGTGTACGATATTTGAGTACATTATATACACATCTGTACGGCAATTTCGCTCCCTGACTAATTAATTAATTGTCTAGTGTCTTCCTGACTGATTGATGAATTGTCTAGTGTAGGTATTTGTGTACGTTAGCGGCAATGCGTTCGCGCACATTCTTCAGCTCATCTGTGTCGTATTTGGGAATGATGCGCATATCGGCACAGTGCGAGCCTCCCTGTAGATGGTATATAGGTGTCAGTGTCAGTGTCAAACACTATAAACCCATGTACCCTATCAAACCCATGGAATTGACGAGCAGCCTATGTATCAGTATACATACTAATACACCAATGGTATCAGCATACATACTGATACACCAATGGTATCAGTATACATACTAATACATCAATGGTATCAGTATACATACTAATACATCAATGGTATCAGTATACATACTAATACCCCAATGGTATCAGTATACATACTAATACCCCAATGGTATCAGCATACATACTAATACCCCAATGGTATCAGCATACATACTAATACACCAATGGTATCAGTATACATACTGATACACCAATGGTATCAGTATACATACTGATACACCAATGGTATCAGTATACATACTGATACACCAATGGTATAAGCATACAGACTAATACACCAATGGCATCAGCATACATACTAATACAACCATGGTGATAATCGCAAGTCTCACACGATAGTATAAGTTTCACACGATAGTAACACGTAAGTGCACACTAACCCCACCACACACCTCCAGCAGAAGCACCTCGTTGCCCTCCTGCCCATCCAGCGCAGAGGTGGACTCAATCACACCCAAGATGTGCCACGGATCGATCTTCGCGTTGACGTAGGTCACATTGGCTGTGATGACATCTTTACCACCGTAGTAGCGGTTTGTTTCGTCAATGTTTGGACCGGCGATGCCGAAGACCTCTCTGCAAACAGCTGGGCCGCTGAGGTCTAGGGTCATGGCCTGGAGCCAGCGGAAGGGATTGTCTGCTTGCACACCCTGAGTGTCGGGCGAGGCGAGGGACGGTGAACGGTTTAGGGGATTAGTTATAAGTATATGTGCATTTGCATGCCACTGATTGGCCATTGTCACTGATTGATTATTGCCACTGATTGATTATTGCCATTAATTAATTATTCCCACTAATTCATTATTGCCATTGATTAGCATGCCTCCAATGAAGTATGGAGTATATGCACAGAGAAGTCAAAGGGTACGAAATGGGGTCTGCTGCAGTGTGCATGGGGAAATACATGCACGTGTACTCCTGGCAAGCGGCTACGACATGAACGATTTGACACTTGCTTTTGACACTTGCACGGTACAGTGTAATCATAATAAGAAGCAAACTAATACAATTCAGCACAGCTCAATGGGCGCCCATCTGCAAGTCATCTACAACGACACGAAAGCACATTCTACATCCAGTGCCAGGAATAGGTAGATAAAGACACATACTATCCAATACACACGGCACATCTCCACCATCTTTAGCACACAACCATTTATATATATATATATATACGTACTTCGTCCTCTGCAACCTACCTCAGTCGACTGGAAGTAGCCGAACTCGTTGCATGTCTGATACTGCCACTGTCTGGCTGCCGCCTGTCCATCGAAGGCCTCTTCCTTAAGCACATCGATGGAGTCTTTCCAGGAGGCATCCACGCACTTGCCCTTGGTGCTGATGTGTATGATCTGAACCAACTGGTCAATGGCTGAGGTGTTGGTGGTCATTTGTGAACATAGATCCTCGGCGGGGATCTGGGTTGTACAGGTACACGTAGTAGGATTGTTAGTGTGTGATGGTATGCATTACAGTATAGTAGCATATAATACAGTATGCATTAGTATAGAATAGTATACAGTAGTAGATATAATTATACACAAGTATGTATTATAGTATATATTGATATGTATTATAGTATATAGTATATATTAGTATGCATTATAGTATATGTTCGTATATATTCGTCTATACGAGTAGTTCAGATAGGTGGGTATTGTCATCAAATAGTTGTACTACACACTCGCCGTCAACTGGCCAGTCAGCGATCCCTGGACCACCACCCGGTCCTAGTCTCCACCAAATGGGTGCACAGACCCCACCGAATACAGGCGCAACACAGACACACAGCACTGTATGTGCTAGCACGTACTACAATACCAACACACCACACACCACCCCATGTACACAAACGGCCTACGAAATCACACCACGCCACGCCACGCCACCGTACATGCGCAATAGACACCGTATACCACCCCATCCCCATCACACACCTTGTTGATCTGGTGGTTGTACTGCACGCTGTTCGAGAACTGTCCCGTCAGCGAGCTCTGGAACACGGACAGGTCCTTTTCATCGCGGATCGGGGTGCAGGTGTTGAACTTGGCCCCCAGCCACTCCCACCCCTGACTGGTCTGACTCTGGTCATGCACTGTCTTTAACGCGTCCTCGAGTGCGGCGATGCACTCGTCTCCGCCCAGGTTACGCATGGAGGTGGTGACTACGTCCATGTACTCAGGGAAGTTGAGTTGGGCCTGAACCGGTCCACTCGAGGATACAGACCCGGAGATGAGGAAGGGGTACTTCTCCTTCATCCAGGCAGCCATAGCACCGGCGTAGGAGCCTCCGAAGACAATCCATTTGGTCTCAGACATGTCATAGCCCAGCTCGTTGTGGTGGACAAAGTAGTCCAGGAACCGAGCCAGGTCTTCTTGTGCCTGGTGGGTGGAGGGGCGGATACAAACACCAGTGGTGAGCATGTGGTAGGTATAACAGTTGACAGCTAGAAAAGGATGATATAGCAGGACGGCACCTTGACAACGTTGTGTGAAGGGCGTGAACTCCTGGGGAAAGATGTGCGATGTTGTAGTGTACACAGCTGTCCACGACCCGGTGGAATCCACAGGTAACCAATATATATAGATATATATATATATATATATATATATATATATATATATACACACTATATATATATATATATATA